GCGGCGGCGCCAGCGCCGGCGCCAGTGCCGTCGCCTGTGCGGGCGGAGCTGAGCCTGGAGGGCTTTGGAGGTGCGCAACTTGAGGGAAATGGTGCGTAGATGTACCTAGAGTCTCCATGACCCTTAAAAACTGGGTCCATGACCCCTGAATTTTGGGTAATGACCAACTATTTGTAAGGGGCATGGAGACTCCAGGTAGATCTTTGATGGAGCTCATAGACTTTGTAGAATTGATTTGAGATGGGTGTTTGTCAACATGGGGATTGCCATGGGGATTGCCTCCACAAAATGTTGAATTTTTGTGTGACGTTTAGACGAAACTTGACTTGTTCGAACTGATTTGAGTTGAGATTGAGACAAAATAGGGATGGGACCCCGACAAATGGAGGGAGAGAAGTCTTTCTGTTTTCCCTTCAACAACCCACGATTCAATGAGGTAGTCCATGTTTTTGGTAGTCCCAGAGTCTAGTGGGGGTTTGCAGCAGTCCCAATGATGAAACCACCTAAGATTTGGTCAATTTGTAGAAGGGGGGCCTTTCCGTGGGATCATGCACACATTTTGACCGCGTCCCACTCAAAAGACGGTATTGGAAAGGAACAGAGTTCCCGTCTACGATGAGATGTGGCATAGGGGTTTCCACCAAACAAAGCAACTGCGATCCCAAGGTGTATCACTTTTTTTGGGGAAAGGGACTCCCATCTTGTGTGGGCATTTCCGTCTGAAAAGTGTTTTGGGACTTGGGTCTCCCAAGGGTTCTGTGGGAGAGACGCTGACATAGGGCCTCGACTTTTCCCGTAGGGTTTGCGGTGGGTCAACTTGTCCTGGCCTGGGAGAGCCCCACTTTCCCACTTGCCAGGGCCAAGTCCTTCCAAGGCGCAGGCGGGGAATTTGGGATAGATGTGCGAGGGGTGCTTCGAGATCCGGGACACAGGTTAGCTGCACAAGTTGTGTCCTTTGCAGATTGGCAGAGCCTTGCAAAAACTGCTCGAACCACCCCCTTGCTTGTGCGGGTTGAGGTATGTTTGACTTGCTGGAGTGATAGGCAGGGAATAGATTTCAGTTGTTTTTTCATGTTTTTGGTTTTTTTCTTTTTCTTCGAATGAACCCGAAGGGGGATCCCACTAATGGAGACCTGCAGGGATTGTTTTTGTTGGTCATGCCAAGTCATTCCCTACCCGTCGAAGCAAGTTGAACAAATTGGAGAGTTGTTGGCCCTTTCTGGCAAAATCCAAAGGGAGCTCGTTTCACAAATGGCGTCTTTTCAAGATTGGCGTCTGCTTCTTTCTCTTGATTCTGCTTCTTCTCTGACGACGGGGCAAGCATCTACCTGAGCCTTGGGATTGGTTTCCACTGCCTTGCAAGCCAGGCGCCTTTGGACCCCTTTGCAGGCTCGGGGCCCTGAGCTGCATCGGAAAGTGCCGAAACGCCGTGGCTGGGCATTGGCTCGTCCTTTAAGGTTGGACCCCCCAAAATGCGGGGGGATGTTCCTTTTGGCGTCCCTTTAAAACAACCCCAAAAGGGGGGCACTCTCCCAAAAAAGACACCATGCTCCCAAAACCTTGGTGGACATGAATCTCCATGTCCACCACAGCATGCCTCACACCTTGCGGACCAAGCTCCCCTTGTAGGCAACGGTGCGCAGGCGCGGTGGGCCGATTTGCCAAAGAGACAGATCGAAGCAAGAGCGCTGTGTGAACCTCAGGCAGAGCTTTGTGAAGAGTTGAAGAAAATGGTGGAGCCCCCTCTTGCTTTTACAAGGAACCTTACGGGGAAGGGGGAATCCCATTTCTGGGGCATCCCCATTTGACATCGGGTCGCTCCACGGCAACTTGCCTCCAGGCGCCTTGGCCAGGAGACTTCGGAGGCGATGGAGACATGGGAAGGTTGATATCAAATCCGCTCGACATCAAATGGTCCCCCAGCGATTGGCGCCCTTTCTGACCCGTTTCTTTTTTTTGGGGGGGAGGGTTCCCCTACTAAAATAGACAAAGAAGAAAACAGTTGGTACCCTTGTTCTAACCTGACTGGAGGACCTAGCATAGGACATTCTTCTGGGAAACCACGAGCAAAAGATAGATTCGATATTTCATCACCACATGTGAACAGCTACTGGTATCATTTGGGGGCCGAAGGGAAGATTGATCAACCCCCTCATACAGAAAGCACATGGAATATTTAGGTTTGAGAGTCGCAGGCATAAGTGTCCTTTTGATCGGTTAGTTTGATTAGATATAGATGGGTTCCAGTGGTTTAGGTGGATGTTATGCCATTTACGAGGGCCATCTATTTTTCCAAAAGGACACCTGTGGTGTGAGGGGCTTGTACTTGCAGTATGCAGGTTTCTGTTGACTGCAATATACCGTATGTTTCTTGAAAACCCGACACTCCAGCAGGTTCTCATGGGTGCGACATCTGTGTGTGTTGTATGGCACAGGCTTTACAGCCGCCGCACCAGCCAAGAACATCGCTGGGACCCCAACCGGGAGCGCTCAAAGCACCAGGATGGGTCCCGGGCGGTTCCCAGAACGTCTATGTCCTCGGCACCCATAGATGTTTAGACGTTTGGGGGGAATTATCACGTTAGCATCTCCCACCAAAAGGGAAAGCACAAGAGGAAGTTGCTCTTTAGGTACACTGTCACAGTTGCCATGTTGGAGGAAGGCTGCCTTTGTTTCAGCTTGCAGGCGGGGTGAACGCCTCTCAACCAGTTGGGGGTTTTAAGAAAGGGCCTGAGAAGGTCTCCTTCACGCTCTTTCACTCTTTGGGTTGCGAATCCCTTGGGGAAGTTACGATCCCCGGTTAACTTGGGAACGCTCTTGGCTCTTGTGGGTCACTTTCCGGAATCGGCCCGGCTGCTAGGCCCCAGCCCCCGCTCCGGCGCGGCAGATGCACCTGGGCCTCAAATGGGACGGATGGCGCGCTCTCGCGCGCGGCTTTGGCCCGTCTGGGATACCCAAAATTCGCCGACCAAAGCAAGCTGCGGATGGCAATGGATGGGATGTATAGCTGGAAGCATTTTTCAGCTACACTCGGGGGGAGTCGTTCCAACGGTACATCCCAATTTTTCCGCTCGGCGCCTCAGGCCCGCACCTGCGCCAGCGCCTTCACGGGGGAAGGACCCCTTCGATGATTTGGACATCTTCAAGTGATGGCGGAAGCATGAGGGGCAGCACGCCTGAGATCCCGGATGCCCAATGTGGCATTATATATACATATACATATATATATATACATAGATATATATACCTATATATATATATACACATATTAATACTATTAATTAATATGTATGTATTTATGTGAATATGTTTGCACATGAGCAGGTTTGCTACGCAACAAGATGGGATTGCTTCCGTGGAAGCATGCAACAGGAGAGATGTGACAGCTCCAAATGTCAGCCTGCAGAACCTTAGCTAGGAAAGAGAATAACCATGGCCTGGACCACGCTGGTCAACACGTGCAGATGTTTCACCTTGGCAGACTGATCGGCTGTTGCTCATTCATGCTTACAGAGACGTGCTTTTGTATTCAGAAGGAAGTTTTACATCAGACACGCAACTAGGACGTGGTCAGTGGGTTTGTCTTGAAATGCCCCCCCCCCCCCCAAAACAAAGAGAAAAACTAACAATCCTTTTAGCGGTCCTTAAAAACCACAAAACAGAGGTACCCTCAACAAAAGACACCCAGTGCACTTGGATTGCCCAGCCGATCAGCCCAGAGAGACGTGGTGTCCTGCCAAGGCAAAAACAACAGCGGGAGCTGAACATGTGTTGCTATAGAGCAGCGATCAAGCTACCATTGGCCATGTTAGTAGTGATTCTACTACCTGGTTCAATGGGATTGGGCTCTTAAACACCAGACTATGCCCATGTAGAATCAACAGCGAAGGGGTGTGGGGCGCTCACACGGAATGTTGTAGAACTGATCCGGCAATCCATACGGGTGTGGCTCAAAATTAACCAGGGGGGGGTTGCTACGCAGGTTTTGGTCCATGTTTCCAAGTCCCGATCGGGTGACCCATTTTGGACTTCCCGTTTTTTGAGCCTCGGACATCAATCTTTCTCGCTCTCGTGGGACTCAGAGCCTTGGGACAGCAGGGTGTGTGTGTGTGTGTGCGCTTTTTTGTTGTTTAAGGGGAACCGCCGTTTGGCCGGCATCCGTTTTTTTTTTTGGGGGGGGGGTCACAAAAAAAAACATGACACCCAACATGTAGCAGGGAGTTGTGCCTGGACACGTTTGGACTTTTGCGCGGCCTCCAGATATGTCTTCAAGGTACAGCTCCGTTTTCTGCAGCCTTCGCCAGCGATTTTGACGCCGTAGTGACTTCCACGTTTCATCATGCAGTAGCTTCAGGTGGTGTAGGATACGGACAAAACAGCTTGTTCTGCATGAACTCTGATTCCGCTTTGCGTATTCATATGGTCTCGGCTCAAATTATAAGGTATGGATCAGAGGTCCGGACCCACGAGCGATCCACCCCCCCGATCCAGCCCAGAACGCAGCTGATCCAGACCCATTCAGACGTCCGGATCACCACGGAACGATCCATACCCGTTTTTTGAGCCGAAGACATATTGGTTGAGGCACTGTTTTTAGGTGCGTTTTCTCCCACCAGGCAATGTATCTCCATGAGCAACTGACAAAATTACTGGGTCCGTTGTCGCTTGGGGTATCCAAGTTTTAGCTTGAATATTTGGGGGGGGAGGGGGTGAGACCGGTTCCCAGTTGGTGAAATGTCCTCAGGAATCAGGAAGCAAAGGTAGTCTAGTCCAGGGCTCCTGTTTCGGTTTTTGTGTCCAGAAACGACATGTGCATGTGGGCTTTTGAAAGGGCTGGGTTTAAGGGCGCCAACAACAACAAGGGATCCATGTCGGCTGTCGTGTTTTCAGGGCACCTGGTCTGCTGTTGGTCTCCTTTGGGACGCCAAAAAAACGGACCGCCTTTTACTGCGAGTTCCGCGCGTTTTCGCGCGCCTGGGACGTATTTCCGGCCATGGCAGGCTCAGAGAAGCTCACCAAGAAAGCTTGAGCCGGGAGCTGAGATGGGAGTTTCCGGAGCCTAGAAGCCCCCCAAACATAGGGCATGTCCTGGGGAAAAGGGGAACCCGCCCGTCCAGATGAACCCGGAAAAGGGGAACCAGCCCTTCGTAGGGTCCAGGTTGAATCCCAACATGAAGTTGGTATCCAAGACAATTGAAGCAGTTCAGACAATTTGTTGCTGGGTCTTCTGGGGTCGGTACAGTACGTCGTGCGTGTCTTCTTTTTTTTTTGGACTCAGCTTCAGTTGTTGCACGTGCCTTGTTCTCGTTGAATCTTTTGGACCCAGTGCAAGTGTGGGACGCCCTTGGTGTTTCAAGAGCTTGAAAGGGCTAAGAAAGTCCACTCTCAAACTCAACTGGAAGTGTTTCCACTGCAGAGAGGTTAAACCTATTTCAACTACCTCTGATGCATGGCAGACCTGTTTTCGGATTTCCCCGCTGGCCCAGTTTGTGACCAGCTTGTCTGAGGTTTTCGAGGCCAAAGTCCTGTGGTATTCGCAGAGCCAATGGCAGCTGCAGACGTGGTGCGATGGCAAAGCAGCTCAAAGCGATGTTTTGTGGCATGTGTTTGTTAGGGAAACCAAAAAGAGAGCCATCCTTTTTTGTGTTGTATATACAGAAGGGCCCCTCATGGGGGGGTGGGTTTTTTGACACACGGGGATTTCGCAGTTTTTTTTGCGAATGTGTCCTTTGCATTTTTCTAAATAAAAAGAAAACAAAAACAAAAAAAACTCGAGAAAACAAACAACCATGTCCAGACCCTAACTCAGCCAGCATGGATACATAGGGTCTGAGATTTTGTCTTTTTGGTTTTCTCGAGGTTTTTTGCACTTTTCCGAGAAAACAAAACTAGACAAAAAAGCTAAAATGTCAGACCAAAACTCAGCCAGGATACATAGGGTCTGAGTTTTTTGCGTTTTTTTCTTTGGGGGGGGTTTCTCGAGGTTTGCTTGGTGTTGAGGTTGGGGTCAGCAAGAAGAAACAAATATCCGCAAGAAGGAAACACGTGCCATCGCGGCCCGGGCATTTCACCTGCTAAACGCGACCGAATTCTATTCATATGAACTGAAAGAAACAGCCAGCTTGTCTTTCCTTACCATATTATGCAGATTACAGCTAAAACTTAATTACAGTCCTAAATGTTTGGAAAGGAAATCCCATCTAAATTCTGATTCAAAGCAGTAACTAGAATTGAATCAGTTAGAAGAAACTATTAGCTTGTCTTTCCTTACTAAATGCCAGCAATACGCATGTCAAATAAAGATCATATTTAGAAAGACATTTCCATTTAGATTTGGATGGAATTCCTGTTTACAATATACTTAAAACTACTAAAACAAATATATACTTAAATTAAACTTGAAAGCATATTTGGATAAGACCCCATTACACATCCTAAAGTAACAGTTAACTTCAAGGTTCCAATTAGCTTCTAATTGGAACCCTGCTTGGAAGGGAAGTGCTGACTAATATCTAATTCAAGAAACTGAAGTGAAGTCTGATCGAAGTCCAATTTGAATGTAAGAAAAGCCTCGCAATGTAAACCTTGCAACAAATTGCAATGAAACCAGCTTTTTTCCATGTTTTTTTTTTTTCAGAGGCTTGCATTGCAAATAAGAAGAAACAATTTCCTCATTAAATTCCCAATTGAACTCCTACTTGGGAAGGGACGCCTATTTAGATTCTAATTCAACATACTGTGTTAACTTGAAGGCTTGATATGATTCAACCTAAAGCGGTACAATCTAAAACTTGTAAACCAACAGAACTGACATTGCATTTCCTTTGATTTTCTATTGGTTTGTCTCTCCTTTTAAGGGGCAGGCAATTCAGA